AAACACTTTAGCCCTTCCCCCCCCCCCCCCCCCCTCACCCCCCATTCCTTTACTTTTCTAAATGGATTAGGTTTTGTAACAAGTTGTGGGGGGTCTTGGTGTCCTATTTCAATGGCTACACAACTCAACTGCCCAGCCAAACCGTGATTGATCACTGAGGAATGTCTGAGTAGGACATCTCCCCTCCGCATGCCCTACTCCTTGTATGGACCGGCTTGTGATCTAAGTCGCTGTGTCTCTGTGCAATGCAGGCCTTGCACTAGATAGGTGATGGTAGATCTAGGGGCCCATTCACCCCATAGCATTGCACTAAACATGCATGGTACAGGTTGAAACTCATTCCGAATGAGCAATGGGCAGCACGTGCCCATTGGGAGGTGCATTGGGGTTCCGTTCGTTCTGAACGGAACCTCTACACACCTAGCGTATGGTACCAATGCGTTTTGGTATGGTACCAATGGATTGATGGCAGTGCTATGATGTGAATGGGCCCTCAAATAGAATGAGATTATGAATAAAATAGTTTACATAGTATATGGTCGGTGTGGCAGTGCATGGCAATGCCACGGTGTAGTATGGCAACTTTGGCGCCCAGGACTCTCAGCCAGAGGGGCTGAGAGGTTCCACAATGTGAATACCTTTGGAGAGGAGGAACTGGCTGTTCAATTCCTTCCAGGTTTTCCAGACTATAGTGGGATGGGATCTCCAGTCCTGGGGCCGGGTTTTGCCAGTGGCCAGGTTGGGCTGAACAGGTGGCTGAGAGCAGCCTTATTAGGAAGCCAGCCCAGGGCTCAGAGTCTGCCTGTCGTCGTGTGCCTCCTGCACACCCACAACTTTCCTCTGAGCCCTGGGCTGGCTTCCTAATAAGGCTGCTCTCAGCCACCTGTTCAGCCCAACCTGGCCACTGGCAAAACCCGGCCCCAGGATTGGAGATCCCATCCCACTATAGTCTGGAAAACCTGGAAGGAATTGAACAGCCAGTTCCTCCACTCCACTAAGGTATTCACATTGTGGAACCTCTCAGCCCCTCTGGCTGAGAGTCCTGGGCGCCAAAGTTGCCATACTACACCGTGACATTGGCATGCACTGCCACATCGGCTTTGGAAGATTTCCACGCACTTCCTGTCAGGAGACAATAGGGCCCATTTAAGCTCAGGTAATGCGCAGTACAGTAGTTCAGAAGAGTCCCGCAGTTTTACACAACCCCATTGCCCAGCGGTCGTCTTCTTACCTGTGTAGCCTGTGGCACATGCACATTCATACTGGTCCATCAGGTTGAGACAGGTGCCGTTATTTTGGCACGGCGCCGACGCGCACTCATTGATGTCTATTTCGCAGTGGTGCCCCTGGAAGCCCGGCACACAAAAGCAGTTGTACTTGTTCCGCTTATCTACACAGATGGCCTCGTTCTGACAAGGGTTGGAGGCGCACTTGTTTATAATGGTTTCGCAGTGTTGCCCCGTGTAGCCCGCTTGGCACACGCAAGCGTAGCCATCCGCCGTTTCCACACACTGGGCGCTGTTGTCACAGGGGTTTTGAGCACACGGCGACGCCTTCTCTTGGCACTTCGGGCCACCGTAGCCATGTTGGCATTTACACGTGAATGCCGCTCCATCACCCAAGCACTGAGAGTTCGGAAGGAGACAGGGGTTATTGCCACAGTCATTAGTGGTGGTGCAGTTAGATCCGGACTGGCAGAGGCACTGGTATTCCGGGTGTCCAAGTTTCGCTTGACACACGTGGGTTTTAGGGCAGTCAAACGCGGTGCATGCATCGTAGAGGACTTCACAGCTTGAACCAGTGAAAAGCAGAGGCTGGGTAGGACAGCGACAGATAAAACCGCCGGGGCCGTCTTGACAAGTCCCTCCATTCAGACAGGGAGTAGACAAACAGTTCTGTGCCCGTCCTGGCGGTCAAACAAAGAACAGTGTTGTTAGTGGACTATGGTGCCATACAAACAAAAAAACAAAAAAAGAGTCAATACAGATGTGATACATACAAGGTTTAAGAAGTAAATGTTAGATCTTTCAACGAGGGTTACATGCAAGAAAAATGTCAAAAAAATCCCAACTGGAGTTAAAAAAAATAGGAAACCAACTCAGACTTTAAGACTAGCCTTCAATCCAGAGCTGCCTCCTGCAGTACTGCTTTTCGGTCACAAGATGTCCTCGGTATCCCAGTTTGAATGACACCTAGCTTCATTGAACCCAGGAAGACCGAGGAGATACTGTGAGTGCAGAGCATGCCGGGCGCCCTTCATTCACGGTATAATGGTGCAGAGAGTGGTGCTGATTTCATCATGTCCACGGAGCTCGCTGCATCGTTCAGGACCACCCACCACCAGGAGATGATCAGAAAAAGTAGAGGACCCTAGGTGACCAGCCTGAAGGAGGAGAAGAGGGGTGGATGATTGTCACCATCTCCACCTCAACCAATCACAGAGTGCCTTGTGTTTTGTGAAAAGAATAGAAGATGCTGTATGAATGGAACGGTGGAACATCACGATCTTCACCTCAACCAATCACAGAATGCCTTGTGTTCTGTGAAAAGTATATAAAACATTTTATGAATGGATGAGGGGAGGGGGGCGGATGAACGTCATGATCTTCATCATGACGCAGGAGTGCAAATGAGAGATGGGGACAGAGCGATGTCACCCTATAACAGGAAGTGCCTTACGAGGACCATTTATGGCAGGATCACCAGGAATTATTTTAATTTAAATATTAAAAATACAATTTGAAATGACATGCTGAAAAAGTTCACATTCGATTTTAGTGATTGGAGTTGTGTGAATGCCTTGTGTTCTGTGAAAAGTATATAAAACATTTTATGAATGGATGAGGGGAGGGGGGCGGATGAACGTCATGATCTTCACCTCAACCAATCACAGAATGCCTTGTGTTCTGTGAAAAGTATATAAAACATTTTATGAATGGATGAGGGGAGGGGGGCGGATGAACGTCATGATCTTCACCCCAACCAATCACAGAATGCCTTGTGTTCTGGGAAAAGTATATAGGACATGTTACTGAGTTATGTTACCTAACTCAGCAGGACCCCCACACACGGGACACCCACCATTAGAAACCATTTATTTTTACATAGCCAATGTCCAAAAAATTATTTGTTCCCGGCATCCAGCTCCAAAGCAGAAACTATCTCGGCCGTCTACTAGGACCTGAACTGCCGGCTTAATTTAGCAGCAGACTCTGGGAATGCGCGGCAATTAGTGCCGAGAGAGAGAGCACACAGGCCGTCCTCTGAAACAAAGCCTGGAGATGGTGGGAATTCGCTTCTATTATGTGACCTCCATCAATGACTGGACTCCCGCAGCCTTTCCGATGACACTGCTGAGATCATACAAATGAGGGGGCACAAAGGAATTCCTTTCCTATCCAAAAGGAAACAATTGTGTTACAGGCAATGGACACATCACGAAACTGCAGCCGTACTGCAAGAAGCCGCCGGGTAATAAAAACAGAAAAAGTTTGCACTTTCGACGTAGAGTAGACTTCCCTTAAAAGACGTCATATAGTCTCCCGAAAATAAGACCTACCCCGAAAATAAGACCTTGTACTATTTTTGGGGAATTGCTAAAATATCTAAATATCTGTCTTTTGTCTTGAATTGCTCCTATAAAATAGCAGAGCACTTCCTGGTGAGTGAGCCTAGGCACTCCTGTGTCTACAGCAAAGGTGGGCAAAGTCTGGCCTTCCAGCTGTCGTGGAACTACCCTGTTTCACTGAAAATAAGACCTAGTCCTATTTTTGGGGAATTGCTAAAATATAAGACCTACCCCGAACATAAGACCTAGTTGTGACCTTTCTCAGGGCCGGTGGTGGCATAAGGGGGAACTTGAAGAGCCGCGGGAGAGAATCAGCCGTTGCCAACCAGCGCTAGAGGAAGCGAGGCGGCACCGGAGGGAGCAGAGCCGCATAAGCCGACGCCTCCTCTATAGCGCCGGCTCCTGTCACAGGCGGAGTGATACCAAATGCACTCCCCGCCTGTGAGGAATCAATAGTGAAAGCGCGCTTCGCCCATTCTGGCCAGCGATTGGTTAGCAAATTGCTCTGGGAAAGGTACGGCGCACCCCTGATTGCCCTGATCACCATATTTTTGTACATGAATACATGTAGACTGTTGTACATGGACCTACCCCAAAAATAAGACCTAGGGAGTACAATCTCAATTTCAAGTGTTCTTTCTATGTTCTTTGTTTGTAGTGTATATACTATCAGCTGCGGCCTTTTCCTGTTCAGTTATTGGATATGTTTACTGTAAACATGAGCTATATTTTATATTCTCCGTGGTGCCATTGCAGCTTATTCACACATATTATTATTATACGGGATTTATAGAGCGCCAACAGTTTGCGCAGCGCTTTACAATATAAGGAAGACATAGGATGGAAGCCAGTGGAGGGATCAGCAGAGGGAGGTGGGGGATGGAAGCTAGTGGAGGGATTGACAGAGGGAGGTGGGGGATGGAGGCCAGTGGAGGGATCGGCAGAGGGAGGTGGGGGATGGAAGCCAGTGTAGGGGTCGGCAGGGGGGGGGGGGGGATGGAAGCCAGGAGGGAGGGTACTGTGTAGAGGTCGGCCAATGAGGAGGGAGTTGCAATAGTCAAGACGAGAAATAACAAGGGAGTGGATGAGTAACTTTGCGGTTTCATTGGTGAGGAAGGGGTGTTATTTTGGAGATGTTAGCTACAGCTAGCAATCACTGGGATAGCCAATGACAGGCCATCACAGTGATCATGTGATTGGGAGCCAGGAGCTCCTGACAGCTAACTGACAGCTCCGGTCTCTGTGTTGGGGGAGCACGCAATGGAGCACGCATCCATCAGAAGCATCAGAAGCACAGGTGAGTATATATCTTCCACCCTGGAAGAAATCACACTTCCTTGATGTGACATATATGTGTGAGGTGGTCGTAAAGGGGTTATGACGGCTCTTCACCCTAAAATGATGCTTTATTCTTCTGGCTACTCCAAAAATTCCCTTTTTTTCCCCCAAACCTGCTCTGCCACCCCAAAAGCCACGTGCTATCCTTTTAGTCCACATAGCCCCGCGATATCTCAGATAGATATCCCAGGAGTCTGCAGGATTGGGACACAGATCGGGTCTGTGGGTGTTACTGTCCATGTCCTGAACCCGGATGAGGCAGTCAGCTCCCGAGGGCTAAGGAGCACCAAGATGGCGGAACTGGACCTGACCCATGTCGCCTGCACAGTGGATTTTAGCGGGACAAGCCTCGGATTCGTTGGATGGGTGAGTATGCGATTTGAGGATAACGCCGCACAAAAGGTAAGAAGGGTTAAAAGGGGAAAGTAGGGGGGGGGTTCCTCTTTAAAGAATATCAGCATAGTCCCAAAGGAGACGAGAGTGGAAGCACTTTCCATTGAAGGCCTATACAAGTCTAAATCACTTTAAAGCCCTTTCAGTGTGACCAGTGGTCGTCCGAGGTTCAAAAGAAAAGCGGGTGATTTGTGGAGGTTTTGACCCTACGATGAGTCTACCGTCTACATTGTTCTGCTTTTATGTTGTATGTGGACTAAAAGGTTCTCGTATGACTTCTGTACATATATCCCTCTGTGTGCATTCCTCATATTCAGTCCTCATAAGGTAGAAATATTCCTCTCTACCTCCAAAATCGAGGATATCTCCTAGTAGGGTGTGTCATTCATTGGTGTTGATATTGACAAATATTATAGGGTGAATATAGAGTGAATATAGGGTGAATGTGACGTCTCCAAACATCATAAAGCTTTTATTCATAAATTTTACAAATAAATTTGTAAAAAAAAAAACTTTTTCCCTATAAAATGTTATGAGACCTTTATTATCACCCCAATTTTTTTTTAGGGTTCAGTATTTAGTTGGCTCCGCCCTTTGCCGCTATAACAGCTTTAACTCTTCTGGGAAGGCGTCCACAAGGTTTAGGAGTGTGTCTATGGGAATGTTGGACCATTTGTGAGGTCAGGTACTGATGTTGGGGGAGGGGCTCGCAGTCTCCGCCTCTAATTCATCCCAAAGGTGTTCTATGGGGTTGAGGTCAGGACTCTGTGCAGGCCAGGCAAATTCCTCCACCCCAAAGTTGGGAGCATGAAATTGTCCAAAATGTCTTGGTGTGCTGATGCCTTAAGAGCAGGCCCGGCGCTACCGCAAGGCAAGTTAGGCGGCCGCCTTACGGCGCTGCAGGGTGAGGGCGGAAAAAACAGGGCATTTTGACAAGTACTGGTACTTTTCAAAATGCCCCGGTGTTTGCGCTGTTTACACCTTGCCCACCTTGCCTAGAATCCTAGCACCGGCCCTGCTTAAGAGTTCCCTTCACGCAGAACTAAGGGGCGGAGCCCAACCCCTGAATAACATCCCCTCCCGCATAATCCCCCTTTCACCAAACTTTTACACTTGGCACAACGCAGTCAGGCAAGTACCGTTCCCCTGGCAACCTCCAAACCCAGACAAGCCCATCGGATTGCCAGACAGAGAAGCGTGATTGGTCCCTCCAGAGAACACGCCTCCTCTTCTCTAGAGTCCAGTGGCGGCGTGCGCTTTACACCACGGCATCCCACGCTTTGCATTGCACTTGGTGATGTGCGGCTTGGATGCAGCTGCTCGGCCATGGAAACCCATTCCATGAAGCTCTCTACGCACTGTTGTTGTGCCAATCTGAAGGCCGCATGGAGTTTGGAGGTCTGTAGGTATTGACAGTTGGCGACTTCTGCGCACTGTGCGCTTCAGCATGCGCCGACCCCGCTCTGTCATGTTACGTGGCATACCGCTTCCTGGCTGAGTTGCTGTTGTTCCCAGTTGCTTCCTATGTTGCTTGCACCTGTGGCCATGGAGGTGATTGGAACACCAGGATCCAATGATTTTGAGGGGTGTCCCAATACTTTTGGCAATATAATGTACATTTTATCTTCCTAATTTCCAACCATCGTATTTGGTCTTCATACTTTCCATTCTAGGTACATTTGGTCCTCATATTTGCCAACCAACATACATTTGGTCCACCACAATAGATCTCATAACTTTGTATGTAACCTGTGAGCGCTGTTTCTCTTTTTCTTCCCAATGTTATAAAAATTTGAATAAATGTTAGTGAACCCAAAACATTCCAAGAGGGTCACTATGTGCCAAACTCATCTAAAGGTCAGTTAAGGTTTGTTGTCTTGCAGAGAAAGGGAAAGGGATTGTAAGGTGAGCTCAGCCGACCTCATCTGCTGTCACATTCTATTACCTCGCTCTGGTCACCATACTGTGTAATCTTGTGCACTAATTAAATGTTCATCCCTTATGGAGGGAACACACTATATGCAGTTAAAGAGAAGAGCTCGTAAGACAAAGCCACTGTCAAAAAAGCTGGTTTTGTAGACCCTCCAGCCCAGGGGCGCCCACAATGTTTGTGTTAAGATCTACTTTCCAAATGATGAGCTGCATGATATCTACCAACGAAAAAAAACTCCCTCGCTCTCACTCTCCTGGCTGTCTCTCCTCGTTTTTTCTCCTGGCTGTCTCTCCTTGCTCTCTCTCCTGGCTGTCTCTCCTCTCTCTCCTATCTGTCTCTCCCCAGAGTGGTGTCAGGGAGCTCGGCTCAGCAGACTCGGGCTAATAGGTAATCATGTGTGCACAGCAAAATAAATATACCAACATGGAAATAAATGGGCCGCCATTCACACCAGTGGCGTCCCGAGACTGGGTGACACCCGGAGCGGTGTCCGAGTGTCACCCCGCCGAGACGTCATCGCGCACGCGCGGCCGTATTCCGATACCTGCCGGCGGCCATCTTGGTGATGGACGCCGGCAGAGAGAGGAGGAGACAGTCACCCGGCGGGATACGGTATGCCGCCGGGTCCCCTCCTCTCTCCTGATACTGTCGGGTGTTCGGTCCATGACCGAGCGCCCGACTTTTCAAGAGGGGGGTGACACCAAAATGACTGTAAGTCATTTTGGTGTCACCCCTCCAATGGTGTCACCCGGGTGCGGGCCGCACCCCCCTTGTGACGCCACTGATTCACACCCTTCCTGATCTACCAGCATCACCTTTGAGAGCTACTGGTAGATCACCATCTACCTAATGGGCACCCCCGCTCCAGTCCCCCGTACGCACACACATCACTGTTCTCCAACAAAGACAATTCAGATTAATCTACATTGGCAGATATTTTATAGAGAAATGCACATAAAAAAGGATCATTTGTATCTTTACTGATCTACGACAGGTATAATTGACGTGCGTTTCTTAGGCCAGTAGCAGTGCAGTCTGTGTTATCTATTGCTGAAGTGCATGTAGACAGGAAGAGGCTGCAGGAGATCAGCAGCATTAACTTAAAAATGAAAATTTGTATTTTACGTTAAAATAAACAGCAATTGTTTATGATACACGGTCCTTCAGCGGACTATCCAGGACAGCAAAGTGTTATTAAACCCACCAGGCATGTATGTGTTTATTGCACCATGCCAAGTAGGTAGCCCCACTGCAAGGGGTTGATTTTTAAAAATCCTGGAGGAGTTCTTCTTTAAAGCTTTTCACTTCGGAAAGTGGGCTTCCCTGTGTTTACGTCTTTTGGTTGGCTGTGCTGACTTGCAGGGTCCAATGGAACCCCCCACCCCCCACAGCCACCCTTCCAATTCCACAGGCGTGATGGCGCATGGACGAGGTGGAGAGGAGGGGCAGATGACATCACAATCTCAACCTTGTCCAATCAAACAATGCCTTGCTGTCTTTGAAAAAAAGGCGTTCTCTGAATGGCGATGGAGGCGAGCAACCAGCTCCCTGTGTTTGGTGTGCAGAGGGCAACCCACTGGAGCTGCACACAGAAGATCATGGCTACTATAGTGATAGGACAGCATAGTGGCGTAGTGCTTAGCACTTCTGCCTTGCAGCACTGGGGATCCCGGGTTCGAATCCCAGCCAGGTCACTATCTGCAAGGAGTTTGCATGCTCTCCCTGTGCTTATGTGTGTTTCCTTCTGCGCCGGTTTCCTCCCACACTCCAATGACATGCTGGTAGGTTAATTGGCTCCTCTCTAAGTTGGCCCTCTATGTATGCATGTGAGATAGGGACCTTAGATTGTAAGCTCCTTGAGGGCGGGGACTGATGTGAATGTGCAACTATGTAAAGTGCTGTGTAAATTGTTGGCGCTCTATAAATACCTGTAATAAATTTCCAGCATCCCCAGTGGTCCTCCAGAGATCAGATATGGATACTTACATCGAGCCAAGCTAGATCAATGTTACATATAGTATTTGGGGTTGAATAAAGACATACGTCCATCAAGTCCAACCCATATAGGTCCACGCATCGTCTCATTCTTAGGGATACTGGTATCCCTGGATATTACGGTCCCTCAAGAAATTGTCAGGACTCTCTCCAGTTCAAGGACATCCCTTCTCAGTACCGGCGACCAAAACTGGACCGCGTACTCCAGATGTGGCCGAACCAACGATCTATATAGAGGCCCAATTATAGACTTGTCCCTGCAATACATCCCCTTCTTAATACAGGCCAAGACCCTGCTAGCTTTGTTTAGCGCATGCTTGGCACTGCAAACAAAGCTAGCAGGGTCATGTCCTGTATTAAGATGTAAGTATCCACGAAACATTGTTCCACTTTGAGTATATTTTGAAGGAAATATGATGAAGGTATGACCACACTGAATGATGGGCTGTTGTTACTATCTATAATTGGACAACCGAGTAGGTCTTTTCATTAATTAGTGACTCCTGAAGAAGGTTCCATATTTAGATTTTGAAGTAGAAACATTATTGCCAGGAATAATATTAAGATTTATTGGCTTCCTTAACAGGGCGGCCAATGAAATATATACATTTCTTGAGTGTAGAATAAAATATGAGTTGCCTGCATGGATTTCCTAAGTGATTTGTGATGTTTTCTCTGGCGTCTCCTCATGTCATCCGTTTACATTAACCATGTCTGCCCATATACCTGCAGTATAACTTGCTTCAGACAGCTCTGCTGATAAGGAACCAGCAACGTTTTCACTTAACATTCCAAGTCACAGACACAGGGCCGGGGGTTATCAGAGAGCCTGGGCTTAAGAAAAATACCCCCTCAAAGTATCTGAGAGAAGGAGAGATGGGCACCTTTCTGACGGGACCCATACGCAAGTCATTTATTC